GTTCAAAGGAGGTTAGGGATGGGCAACAAATGTTGGCCTTGCTGACATCCCGTGTAAAAATAAGATTAACACTTGCGATCTTTCCTCTTGCAATTACTTTGTGGGCCTTGCTTATAAATAATTGAACAGGCTTATTTGTGTTATGAGTCACAACTCTGCAGCAACTAATGGGGGTCATTCAACAACACAGATGTATTTCACTTCCACTGAAAGACGGACAGTGTCATGGGACGTGATACCCAAAAGACTAATAAATGCTTGGAATTGAGAAGAAAGCCATTTGACTACCTGATGAATTCCAATACCATGAATTATTGGCTTTGCACTTTAGGAAGAGCAACTGTTTTTAATGTCTCAGAGATAAATCCTCTGCTGTTCTGTTTACAAAGAGAAATGGACAGAATGAACAAAGCACTGCTAAAAATCACAACATCACAGATTAGCAAACACAGAACGGAGACTTTCAGCCCATCAATTCTCTACTGGTTGCTTTGACTAGCAGCCACTTCATCCTACTCACCTACTCATTCCTTATATCACTGCAACCTTCCCTCTGCCTCCAGCGTTTATTCTTTCCTTTCTGAAGACTGCAATTGAATCAGTTTCTCATTCCTGGATCCCTATGTAACAATAAAAAAAAGCCCAGTTTGCATATCACTTATGTCATAACTGTCGTGGATAGAGTCAGAAGTCACACGACACCAGATTATAATCCAAAAGTTTACTTAAAATCACATCACCTGATGAAGGGGCAGTGCTACAAAAGCTTGAGATTTTAAATAAACCTATTGGACTATAACCTGGTTTCGTGTGACTTCTGACTTTGTCCATCCCAGTCCAACACTGGTATTTCCATTTCATACATAAGGTGAATAGCAGGCGTCTTTTCCCCAGGGTGGGGGATTTCAAGACTAGGGGTCATAGTTTTAAGGTGAGAGGAGAAAGATTTAAAAAAGACATGAGGGACATTTTTTTTTACACAGAGTGTGGTTCTTGTTTGGAATGAAATTCCAGAGGAAGTGGTGGATGTGGGTACAGCTACAATGTTTAAAATGCATTTGTATATGTACATGAATAAGAAAGAGATATGGGCCAAGCTTCGGCAGGTGAGATAAATTCAGTTTGGGATTATGGTCGGCATGGACTGGTTGGCCTGAAGGGTCTGTTTCCATGCTGTGTGACTCTAACCTGCAATGTAGGAAAATTGGCAGCCAATTTTCACAAAGCAAGATCAAAACCAAATTCCAACATGATGCTGACCAGATAAATCTGCTTTATGAGGGAAGTCACAGTATTTTTATAACTTCCCATCTGAAAGAATGATGCTTTGGAACCTTGAGATTAAGTTCCCCATGTGGGATTTGAACTCACAGACCAAGACTGCTATCAAGTGAACTGTAACTAGCATTGCTACTTTAACCTGTACACTGAGTACCAAACTGGCCCAGAGGCTAGGCCATTGATTTCTCACTTCTTTCGACAGCCATGGCAGAATTTGACCCCTTAAATCATAAGATCTCTGAATCCTGCTTATATATGTTTTGATCTCTATTGTGCTGAAAGCCTAATGAGTTCCTGTTCTGGCTACACTCCCTTTCTCAGACTTTTGTGTCACAAATTCCCCGACTGTGGCAACAGCTAACCTTCAAACAAACTGATGACCTAACCCTATAAGTGTCATCTGCCCCTACATATGGCAGGGTCTGTAGATCATACACTGGACTTATCAGTCATCTCAGAAGGCATTGAATCTAAGTGGAGGCAATTCATCCTTGATCCTAATGGACTGCTATGAACAAGACAGTTAAGCTCCTTAAGTTAAGCTACAGTTAAGCAATATATTGAAATTTAGAGGCAACACAGTGTAGAACTGGCAGGTCAGGCTGCGTCAGAGGAGTAGAAAAGTTGATGTTTTGGGTCGAGACCCTTCTTCAGAAACCCAAAATGTCAACTTTCCTGCTCCTCTGATGCTGCCTGACCTGCTGTGTTCCTCCAGCTCCACACTGTGTTGTCTCTGACTCCAACATCGACAGTTCTTGCTATCTCCTGTTGAAATTTAGAGTCCCCTTTGAAACTGTGTCCTTTTAGGATTCCATATTTGAATTTCGAGTGTGGCATGAGACATCAATTAACTGTGTTACTGTAGTAATGAGCCTTCTACAAGCAAAAAAACCAAAGATTCATTGGGCTCCTTGCTACCCTATTATTTTGGAAATTAAGGAGCTTTTGTTCTTGGAAGGAATGAAAACTAGCCTCCAAATGGAAGTGGGCAAGGGTCATCCATTGAGTAACTGCCCATGGTCATTATCCATATAGCCATAATCATAGGGATCTACGACAAAGTAAAAGCCCTTCAGCACATCAAATCGGTACCAGTCAAAAACAACCCCCTAACTATTCCAATCCCATTTAGGTAATGGCCTCACTGGACTCATAGTGGCTCAGTGATTAGCACTGCTGCCTCACAGTGCCAGGGACCTGATTCAATTCCACCCTTGGGCAGCTGCCTCTCTGGTGTTTGCACATTCTCCCTGTGTCTGTGCGAGCATCCTCTGGGTGCTCAGGCTTTCTCCCGCAGTTCGAAGATGTGCAGGTTAGGTCATTTGGCCATGGGAAATGCAGGGTTACAGGGATAATGTATGGGGTTGGGACTGGATGGGATGCCCTTCAGAGGGTTGATGTGGACTCAAAGGGCTGAATGGCTTGCTTCCACACTGTAGCGATTCTATGACTGTTAATCCAGGGATCCAGGTAATGTTCTGGGGACCTGGATTTGAATCCCATCATGGCAGGTGGTGGAATTTGAATTCAATAAAAATATGAAATTAACAGTCTAATGATGACCATGAAACCATTGTTGATTGTCAGAAAAGGCCATCTAGCACACTGATGCCATCCTTACCTGTCTTGGCCTAAATGTGACTCCAAGCCCACAGCAATGTGTTTGACTCTTAACTGCTCTCTGGGCAATCAGATTGAGCAATAAATGCTGGTGTGGCCAACAATGCTCTCATCCTGTGAATGAATAAAAACAAGTTTCCAGCACTTGGCATTACAAATACACATCTAAATACTTCCTCAATGTTATGAGGGTATCTGCCTCTATCACCCTTACAAACAGTAAATTCCAGATTCCCACCACCCTCTGAGTGAAAAAGGTTTTCCTCATGATCTTCTCTAAACCTTACTGCTTACTTTAAATTATGCCACATCTGTATAACCTGTACATTGCTAACAAGAGCAGGAGTGGCATGGTGGCTCAGTGGTTAGCACTGCTATCTCACAGCTCCAGGGACCCAGGTTCAGTTCTGCCCTCAGGTGACTGGATGGAGTTTGCACATTCTCCCTGTGTCTGTGTGGGTTTCCTTCCACAGTCCAAAGATGTGCAGGCTAGGCGGATTGGCCATGCTAAATTGTCCATAGTGTCCAAGGATGTGTAGGTTAGGTGGATTGGCCATGGAAAATGCAGGGTTACAGTGATAGAGTGGAGAGTGTGGGCCTGGTTGGGATGCTCTTCAGAGGGTCAACATGGACTCGATGGCAGAATGGCCTGCTTCCACACTGTCAGGACTGTAAGAGCAGTTTTCTTGTTGGTTTAGATGGTGATTTTCTTCCACTGACATCAGACCAAGTGAGCTCCATGGATGCCTGCCCTAAAAGAGGATGGTCACAGCAAACCAATTCCAGGATGACCAGTCACACACACAACCTCAGAGAACAAGGAGATCTGTGGTGAGGAATGCTCACATGGCATATATAATCCCAGTGTGTACCTAGAATCCTTCAGAGACACCTGCTAGCGAAGGCATCCAGTTCTCTTCCTTGGCAGGATTTCAGGTGCCATGCAGGTGCATGGAAAGCACATTGATAACACGGAACTTAAACTTCAGTTTCATGGAAGCTTATTGCTGTAGTTAATCTTTTTCAGTTCGTTGAGAGCTGATGATACCTCTCCTGTTCACACATTGAACCCACTTTCTATGGCATGCTGGATAGTAATGGAGCTGCCCAGAGAGGTGGGACTCTTCCCTACCATGATGTTACAGTCAAGAGCAAATGGTTTCTGCCCCTCCAGGAAGATTAAATGCTGGGGAGAGAAAACAACTCCATCCTCACATATGCATACAAGCAGATACGTGTATTTCCGAGATTTTAGAAGATTGTCCCCTGATAATAGAATGGAATTGTAATTTACTGTCACTTGTACTTTTACGAAAAATGCAGTGAAAAGTGCTTAAGTCACCATATTCCAGCACCTATATTAATGATAGAAATCATATATCAAAAAAAATTAAGACAAGGTCTATCTTTGTTCAATTCACAGATCACAGGTTTCCAAGGTTGAGGAAAAGACAGTGAAAGCAGAATCAACACTCATTTGCAAATGGGAAGAGGATATAGATGCTTGAAAAACAGAAACTTTTAAGATAGGCATATGGATGATAGTATAAGGTAGGGGTGGAGGTTAGATAGACTTTAGGATTAGAGTAAAAGGCCTGCACGACATTGTGGGCCGAAGGGCCTGTACTGTGCTGTACTGTTCTATGTTCTAAGTTCTATGTTCTATGAAACTTGTGAAGATGGAGCAGATGGAGCAAAGAGCGGGAAGCTCTTTCAAGCAGCCAGTTTAGAACTGGATGGGCTGAATGGCCTTCTGCTACACTGTAAGGGTAGTTTCATTTCAAAATGTTTGGCGGATTCCTCCTGCACTGCACCAGTTGTCACCAGATGTTTACCCGAGCAGAATGAGAAGCTGTCATTTTTGACATCTTCCTGTGCTCTGAGCTGATCCTTCCTGGGCCTTTCTCTGACCCAGGCTGCAAACCCAGCCTGACAGCCTGGTGTCTGATCAGGAACCACGCTTGTGTGAAGTCACTGAGAAGGTAAACAAGTCCCATCCGACTGCAGCTCCTCCCCGATGTTGTGTAACAAAGGAATGTGGAATTGAACTCTCCCCTGGGTGAAGCTGAAAAATTTTGGCAGTGGTCTCTAATGTGGATGCCTTCCTCTGCCCTGCTAGGATTACAGACTGGTTCATGCAGAATTTCAATTGCATCAGAATGCAGAGCCTTTCTGGGTTTGGAAACACCATTGTTAGTAGCAACAATCATTTGCACTCAAGGCTGCACCAAAAGAAACAGCTGGTGTAATTTTTATTTAACATTTTCACTGGGGTATAAATTAATGGCTTTTGTGTTAATGACACGTGCCTGTGTATGTAGGCCTGTTGTCATTTTGTATTTCTATGTGACTGTGTGTTTCTGTAAGCCTATGTATGAGAGTATGTTTATGTTTCTGTATGAGGTTAGATGCGCCTGGGTGAGTGTGTGTCTGGAGTGTGTTTCTGTGTTTCTTCTGCGTGTGAGTGGACCTGTGACTCTTTGCATCTGTAAGTCGATATGTCTCTGTATTTGTACCTGCATGTGTCCCCGTGTGTTTCTGTGAGTGCATTTCCGTCTGTATCTTTGATTGATTGCCTGTTTATTCTCCTCATCTCTGATGATCTGATTCCTCATAAATGTTCTTGTCTGTAATATTAATTTGAATTCTGTTGAAGGATTCGCCCTAATATCTGACTTAACCATTCACTGTCTTTATCACAAGTGGCAGCTCTGTGTGCTATCTACAAGATGCACTGCAGCAACTCACCAAACTCTTTAGACAGCACTTTCCAAACCCATGATCTCTACTTGCTGGAAGGGTAAGGGTGGCAGGTATATGGGAATACCACCAGCTAGAAGTTCCCATTCAAGCCACTCAGCATCCTGATTTGGAAATATACCACCGTTCCTTCAGTGTCGTCATTGGTTCTAAATCCTGGAATTCCCTCCCTACCAGCATCATGGGTATCCCTACACCACAATGATTCAAGATGGCAGCTCAGTATATCCTTCCCAAGGGGAATTTGAGATGAACAGTAAATGGTGGCCTTGCAAACAATGTCCATCTCCTGTTGATGAAGACTTTTTTTTTAAGCAGGCCATGCCTGGGAACCCGAAGCCCCCTTCTTTCTCTCCTCTGACTGACCAGCTAACCATTTGTCCAATCCTTTTCCTCATAGGATGCCTACTGTGTGGAAGCAGGCTATTTGGCCCATTGAGTCCATACTGCCCCTGCGAAGAATAATTCACCCAGACCCTTCCCTATCCCTATCCCTATAACTCTGCCTTCCCCACAGCTAATCCACCTTGCCCGAACAGCCCTGGATACTATGGGCAATTTAGCACGGCCTATCCAACTAACCCGCACATCTTTGGACTGTGGGAGGAAACTGGAGCATCCGAAGGAAACTCACAGAGACACGGGGCGAATGTCCAAACTTCAAACAGTCACCTGAGTCCAGAATCGAACCCAGGTCCCTGCCACTGTGAGGCAGCAGTGCCAAACACTGAGCCACCATGCCACTCCACAGGAATTCCTGTGGGAATTTTGTTGATGTTTCCAGCACCTTTATTTATTTTGATAGGCCATCAGTCATCCTGTCACCCGGCAGCTCCGCCAACCTCTGGGAATTCTAACTCCTGGGGGAGGCGAGAGACATGAATGGGAGAAAGAAAACCCATGGCCAATAACAGTGTATGGTTCTGTTCCAAAAATAGTGCATCAAAATAATTCCCCGAGAATAACAGCACTGACAGCTGCTGCCACTAGTCGATAACCTTGTGACTCAGTTGGAGTACTTCCTTTGTATTGTTCCAGAGACTGCAACCTCTGCATGTGCTCCTTACCCAGAAAGAGCTGGCTTACCTGAAGCTGATGGATGTGATCTGATTTGTGTTGAATTCTCGTTTTCACAGGTTGGTGCTAGTTTGCATCTGATCCAGGCCAAACTTGTTCTTGAGTGTTTTGTTTTCTTCTCTCATTCTTCTGTCAACCATGTGGCTTCAAAAAGTTCTTTTTATCTCTCTCTAGCTATAGTATCCAGGATTTCTCCTATTATATTTGGGGAAAGCAATTGAAAAGGATCATTTATAACACTATTAGTATTATTCACAGTGACATCACCAGATCGTTGATACGTTATTCTCAGTGACATCACCAAACCCTTGATACACCATTCAATGACATCACTGGACCCTTGATACACCATTCAGTGTTACATCACCAGATAATCAATACACAACTTACAGTGACATCACCAGACCCTGATACACCATTTACATTGTCACATCACCAGATCATCAAGCCCTGTATGGAGGCTCCAATTGTTCCGGAGTCCACAGTCTTTTGGATCACAGAATCATAGGATTACGACTGCACAGAAAGAGGCCATTTGGCACAATGTGTCTGCACTGGTTCTCTGAACAAGCAATGCACCTCATATGATTCTCCCCTTCACGCTGCACATTCTGCAGTTCCAGACTACAATCCAATTCTCGCTTGAATGCCTCCAATGGACCCTGCCTTGGCCACACTCTCAGGCAGTGCATTCCTGACTGTAAGCACTCATTCCAAGAAATGTTTCTCCTCATGGCTCCATTGATTCATTTGCCAATTTCCTTCAGACTGTGCCCTCTGATTCTTAAACAAATGGGAAAAGTTTCTCCGTCTGCACTCAAACCCCTCATGATTTTGAATTCCGCTATCAAGTCTCTTCTAAGACTTACACTTCTCCAGGGAAACATGTCCCACCTTCTCCAATCTATATATTAGTAACTGAGATTTCTCATTCCCAGAGCCATTCCCAAATAATCATTTCCGGAATCTGTCTAATGTCATCACATTTCTGGGGAGACAGAAAAGTCTGAATTCCTCCCACCCCTTCAGGGTGGCATGGTCGCATGGTGGCTCAGTGGTTAGCACTGCTGCCTCACAGCACCAGGGACCTGGGTTCAATCCCACCCCTGGGTGACTGTCTGTGTGGAGTTTGCACATTCTCCCAGTGTCTGCATGGGTTTCCTTCCACAGTCTAAAGGTGTGCAGGGTAGGTGGATTGGCCAAGCTAAATTGCCTGTAGTGTTCATGGATGTGCAGCCTGGGTGGGTTATAGGGGGATGGGTCTGGGTGGGATACACTGAGGGTCAGTGTGGACTTGTTGGGCTGAAGGGCCTGTTTCCACACTGTAGGGATTCTATTCTAAGAAAATACTTCCTGGTTTCCCTCCTAGATGTCCCAGCTCCAATTTTTAGAGCTTGACTCATCAAGAGAAGAAATAATTTCTTGGTATCTCTTTTCTACGCTATTGAAACATTTTGTCATTTTGGAAGTCTCTGACAGATCACACAAAATCTACACACCATTCAGTCTGTTGCCTTTGTGTGACTCGAGATTGAAAGATGGACAAGTGCCAAAATGGGGTGAGCTCTGTCTGTAGGAGTCATTTGGAATGGATCTGTCTCAACTGTGCAAAAGGGGCAATCATTACTGATAGTGAAATTAAATTCGGCATAAACAGACCTGCTAGTTCATTATCATTTCCTATTTCCGAAGACTAACAATGCACCAATAAATTCAGGTCATTGGAATTTGAATGAAAATCTGTGCAGAACATTTCTGTTCCGTTCTGAGGAAGGGTCACCGGACCCAAAACATTAACTCTGATTTCTCTTCATAGTTGCTGCCAGACCTTTTGAGCTTTTCCAGCAATTTCTGTTTTTGTTTCTGATTTACAGCAGCCGCAGTTCTTTCGGATTTTATTTTATGCAGAACATTTGTTCATTTGAATTCTTTGATAAACAAAAGGATGGAATTCAACTAACGTACTCTCCATTATATTCTGCAGTTGCTAATGTCATTGGAATCCTGCGGCCTGTGAAGAACAAACATAAATGCGAGGCACTCAATGGATTACCCAAATAAACTAAAGAGATTGAAATTGTGTATCATGAGTCACTTGCAAATCATTTTTTTTAATGCTTCATGGAATGTGAAACTCACTGGTTAGGCCGACATTTATTGCCCATTTTTAATTGGCCTTGAAATGATAGTGATGTTCTTGAGTTGCTGCAGTTCCTAGATGTGGGAACACGTACAGTACTGTAAGGAAGAGAGATCCAGGATTTTGACCAAGTGCCTGTGAATAGACGATGATATATTTCCAAGTTAGGAGGGTGAGTGGCTTGGAGGGGAACCTGCAGGGGGCGGTGTTCATACCTTGCTTTTGTGTCTGTTGCCTTCTGGATGGTAAAGGTTGCAAGTTTGGAAAGTGGTGAGGTCACTTTTTGAATACTGTGTACAATCTGATTACCCTTCCAAAGAAAGAATGTTGTTAGACTTGAGAGAGTGCAGAAAAAATTTACAAGGATGTTGCCAGGTGGTTTGAGTTATAGGGTTTGGCTGAATAGGTTGGGGCATTTTGCCTGAATAGTTGGAGGCTAGGAACCTTATAGAGGTTTGTAAAATCATGAGGGGCATAGATAGGTTGTGAGAGAGTGCAGTGAAGATTTACTAGGCTGATTCCCAGGAAGGCGGGACTGACGTATGAGGAGAGATGAACTAGATTGGGATTGTTTTCGCTGGAGTTCAGAAGAATGAGGTGGGGGGGAATCCCATAGAGACTTATAAAATTCTAACAGGACTGGACAGGGTAGATGCAGGGAGGATGCTCCCGATGGTGGGTGTATCCAGAACCAGAGGTCACGGTATGAGAATTCGGGGGAGACAATTTAGGACGGAGATGAGGAGATATTTCTTCACCCGAAGAGGTGAGCCTGTGGAATTCATTACCACAGGAAGTAGTTGATGCTGAAACATTGAATGTATTCAAGAAGCGACTAGATATAGCACTTGGGGTGAATGTGATCAAAGATTATGAGAGAAAGCAGGACTAGGCTGTTGGACGATCAGCCACGATCGTGATGAATGGCAGAGCAGGCTTGAAGAGCCGAATGGCCTCCTCTTGCTCCTATCTTCTGTGTTTCTATGTTTCTATGGATAGCCAAGGTCTTTTCCCCAGGGTAGGGGAGTGCAAAACTAAAGGGCGTAGGTCTAGGTGAGAGAGGAATGATTTAAAAGGGACCTGAGGAGCAACATTTTCAAGTAAAGGATAGTGTGTGTATGGAATGAGTTGCCAGAGGAAGTGGTGGAGGCTGGTACGATTGCAACATTTAAAAGGCATCTAGGTCAGTATATGAATAGGCAGGGTTAGAGGGATATGGGCCAATTGCTGGCAAATGGGCCTAGGTCAGATTGGGATGTCAGGTTGGCACAGACGAGTTGCACCAAAGGGTCTGTTTCCATGCTGTATGACTCTATAACTATCTAGTGTCGAAGGAGCCCGGGTGAGTTGCTGCAGTGCACTTTGTATCTGGCACTGTTCGGCATTAGTAAAAGCAGTGAATGCTGAAGGTGGTGGATGTAGTGCCAATCAAGCGGGCTGCTTTGTCCTGGATGGTGTCAAGCTTCTTGAGTGTTGTTGGAGCTGCACCCATCCAGGCAAGTGGGGAGTATTCCATCACATCCCTGACTTGTGCCTTGTAGATGGTGGAGAGTCTTTGGGGAATCAGGAGGTGAGTTACTCACCACAGAATTTGTAGCTTCTGAACTGCTTTTGAGGTCACAAAGGTAGGAGATGTCAGCAAGTCAGACCCTAAACATCAAATCCACATTCTAACTTCCCCTGATACTTTTTCAACCCCTCTTGATTTCCAAGAGTCTATCCACCCTGTCTTCAACATACTCAAAGCCTTTGCTTTCCTCACCTTTTCACCAAGGGTTCTAAAGAGCCATGACTGTCTATGAGAAAAGAATTTCACCACGTTATTGTTTCAAAATGGGCGATTGCGGATATTTGTACAGTGAATTCTAGTTCCCTGAGACGGAAAAAAAGTCTTTTTCACATCAATTATGTCAAGACTTCACAGGATTATACAAGTTTTAATAAGTTGCCTCTACCTGTTCTAATCTCCAGTGGATACAAGCCAAGCCTATCCAAGTCTTCCTCCCCTGTGACACATCTTGGGATGTATCATTACATTAAAGGCACTAAATAAATACAGTTTGTTGTTGATGTTTAATCCTGGTGGCCCAACAGGCTGTGAAAAATAAAGCTACTGGTTGAGTTTAAAGAAATGAAGATCTGAGGCAAAACTTGGAATGGGGTTAACAGTTGGCAGAGCCTCTTGTAGTGCAGTAGTAATGTCTCTACCTGAGGACCAGGAGGCCTGGGTTCAAGTCTTACCTGCTCCAGAGGCAAGAAATAACATTGCTGAACAGGTCGATTTGAAAAAATTAAATGATAGATTGCAGAGATGCTTTTCTCTAGCAAATAATAAGACTGAAAGGAATTAATACCTCAGCCCTCATTTTTTGAATCATCTTAAATCAGTGCCATCATGTTCACAAATCTCCATCTGCTGTTTTTAGACCCCTTAGAGGTTTGAACACTTCACACATCTCCTTTCAATATTTTCTTCTCCAAGATAGTATCTAATTCAAAGTGTGATAGAGAAGGCAAATTGAATGTGGGCTTTATTTCAAAAGCAATGGAGTAAAGAAGTAGAGAGATTTTTCTGAAACTATATAAGGCATGAACAACGGGAATACTGTAGCGATTGGAATGAGGTTGACCAGGCGGATCTCATTGAGTATGAGTTCCCTGATTGGGGTTGTTAACCTGAGCCAATTAAGGAGTCTTGGCTGACAGATATAAACAGGAGTGTCAGGGATTCTCCTCACTCTAGGGACTGGCCCTGAGCTAGCTGGTCAGAGTCCATGTACTGTGCATGTGTACATAAAGGGTGACTTGGTGATGGGACACTGGCCTTTGTGGAGTTATTCCAAACGCGGAACAGTTTTGGGCCCCTTATCTAAGGAAAGACATATTGGCATTGGTGTCAGTCTAGAGAAGGTTCACTAAGCTGATCGCAAGTATGGCGGGACTGTCTTATGAGGAGAATTGAATAGGTTGGGCCTGTAGTCATTGGAATATAGAAGAATGAAAGGTGATCTTATGGAAATAAATAAGATTCTTAGAGGACTTGACAGGGTAGATGTGTAAAGATTGTTTCTCCTTGTGAGAAAGTCTAGGACCACAGGGCATGATCTCAGAATACAAGGTCCTGTATTTAAGACAGAAATGAGGAGGAATTTCTTCTCTCAGAGGGTGATGGTTCAGGAAGTATATTGAAGGTTGAGATAGACAGGTTTTATTGATTTTATTGAATAATTTTTTTGTCATGTGTACCAAAATACAGTGAAATGCTTTGATTACGAGTAATACAGGCAGACCACAGTACGCAAAGGATGTACAGATCAAAAAGATTTAGAGGCATACAGGTTACATTGCCAGTCACATTATTTGAGGCTAGAGTCCATTCAACAGTCTGATATTGGCCGGAAAGAAGCTGTTCTTGAACCTACTTGTGCATGTGTTCAGGCTTCTGTATCTTCTGCCTGATGGAAGAGGTTGTAGGAGGTCATTACTAGGGTGTGATGGGTCTTTGATGATGTTGGTTGTCTTTCTGCAGCAGCGAGCCCTAGCAAATGGAGGCCATGGATGGAAGGTTGTCTTCCACACCACCTTCTGTCGTTTCTTATGGTCCTGGGCAGAGCAGTTGATGTACCAGGCCGTTATGCACCCACACAGTATGTTTTCAATGGTGCATCTGTTGAAGTTGGTGAGGGACATTATGGACATGCCAAATTTCCTAAGCTGCCTGAGGAAGAAGGGGCGTCATTGTGCCTTCTTGACTGTCCACATCTACGTGGGAAGTTCAGGACTTATTGGTTATTGTTACTCCTAGGAAGTTCTTCACCCTCTCAACCTCAGTTCCATTGATATAGGTGGGGGCGTGTTCTCCTCCCTATTTTCTGAAGTCGATTATCAGTTCTTTAGGTTTACCAACATTAAGAGACAGATTGTTTTCATTGCACCACATTTTAATAAGTAAACGAATCAAGGGTTATAAATAAAAGGCAGGAAAGTGGAGTTGAGGGTTATCAGATTAGGCAAGATTTCATTGAATGGCAGAGCAGACTCGATGGGCTGAATGGCCTACTCCTGCTGCTACATCTTACCGTCTAAGGCAAATAGGGAACACCACCAACTGCAAGGTCCCTTCCAAGCTCTCACCATCCTGACTTGGAAATATATCACCGTTTCCTCACTGTCACTGGATCAAAATCCAAGAATCCCTTTCCTAACAGCACTGGGTGTGTCCCTAAACCACTTGAACCGATTTAAGACATCAGATCCCCAGCATCTACTCAGGGGCATTTGGAGATAGCCAATAAAAGTTGGTCTACCCAGTGATACTCAAATGCCACAAAAGTAAAATTAAAAATTCTTGTCCTCACAAAAAGTCACCCGATCTAAACTAACAGCTGAAATCTTCAGTCAGTATCAGAATCCTTCTTTCTGATGCTGATCAGTCAGAAATGACCCACTAACCTTCCTCTCATTTTTCTGATGGACTTCACCATGTGGTATGCTTTCAAATACATGAAACACAGGAATACTTATAATGAGCAGTGGAGACAATCTGCTAGAAGTCATGTACTGACTTTAGAAACTTAGAAACTAGAAGCAGGGGGAGGTCTTTTGGTCCACTGAGCCTGCCCCATCATTCAGTATAAACATGGTGGATCCTCTATCTCTGCACCATTTTCCCATCTCGCCCCTAGACGCTTGATGCCTTTTGCTTCTAGTAATCTATTTCTTTCTCAAACATTCAGTGATTCGACATCCACAGCCTTCTGTGGTAAAGCATTTCACAGGCTCAGCACCCTCTAAGTGGAGATATTTTAACTCACCTTGGTGTGAAATGGTCCACCATGACCCCTTGTTCTGGAGCACTGGTCAATGGAACGTTATCCTTAAGTTCAGCCCTGTCAGAATTCCATATGTTTCTATTTGAATCCCTCTCATTTCTCTAAACTTC